GGTCCCTTCCGACCCTTAATCTATGAATCTATGAATCATCTCACCACTTGAATGTGTGGAAAAACAAGTGCTTTTCATTTGAATGATAAATGTTGTGTGACATTGCTTATACCTGACAGCAAGGCCCTCCCAAAAAAACACTGGAATTATAGACTGGAAAAAATCTGATTATTTGCATGCACAAACTGAGTCAATGCACCCAAAACAATTACCATACACTTCCTAAGCCAAAAGTGTTTATACACTTTTAAGGAATGAGAAAATGTTTCCATATGTACAAAAAAAACCCATCAGCAAAACACTACACATCTCTAAAACAACTTAAAACTATTCCAACTGTCCACCATAGTGAAAGCTCTGGAATATGAAGGTACAGCCACTCTAGACAGAAGTGTTTATAATATGCACATACATGCAAAAGCAGGTGATACTTGAGGATTCGCTGGACAGGTTTTAGAAGATAGGAGCCCAAAGGCAGGGAGTGATGTAAAGCTTCTTGCCGTTCTCTGAAGAACTTGGCCAATGTCTTGTTCCTCATGCACTCTGTTAGGACAGCTACTGACCTGGCAACATAAAATACATTTCTTAAAAATAAATGCTGCTTCTACAAATCAGGACACACAGTCAGGAACTGTTCCTTTCATTCCCTTTACTGGGGTATCAAATTCCCTCCCATCGTAAGCTTTTGCTTTTCCTCGAGAGAGAGAATTCTTATTTTAGGTATTTTGGTGCATGGCAGAACATGGCCCTAATTTTTAGCGAAGGCAAACAGGAATTACTAAGAAAACCGACAATAAAACAATTAAAAGCAGAAAAGCTTCAGATAAGTACTTCCCTCCTGTTTAATATTATGATTTGAAAGAAAAAGCACAGAAATAATGTTTTTTCTGCATTTGGAAAACATATTTCTGATAGGACTGCAACTGTGTCTTTCACTTATTCATATCAAGTTACATCCTCTAAAACTGGACAAAGCAAGAAGGAAAAGGTAAAGAGAGAACAAAAAGGGCTTACCTTGGATAATTGGTGCAGTACTGTGTATATATATGGAAATCTTCACTCTGTGTGTTGGGGTGGAAAAAATAATATTTGGATTTTGTCAATTTACAGATCCTAGATTCCCTCCTGATCCTAGCATTTAGAAAAATGGTGCAAGGCTGAGAGCTCACTGGTTCAGGGGCGGGGGGATTGACAGTGGACAGAGTGGGTCAGTTTGCAGTGGTGCAGTTCCTGTGCATGTGCACAGAGTGGAAGGGGAATGCAATTGCATGACCCCTGGATCCACCACTGACTAAGACCAGCACAGCTTTTTCATTTGATATTGTTCTTGCTCATCCTATTCATTATTCCCTCCTTCCACAGAGTCCCAGGTTAAGCTGAATTCACATTGTTCCATACACCTAGATCAAGGTCTAATGCAATATTGCTCATCTTCCCTCCCCTGTCTGAAAAATCTCTTAAATTCAACTCTTGTATGAGCTTTCAAGTGAAAAGAAATATTACAGTTTTCTGTGTTTACTGTTCTTTATTTACTGACTTTCACATTAAAGTCCCACTCCTGAAAAGTGCTGAATGCCTTCACAAGGGGGGTTCAGTGCCCTCAGGTCCTCAGCACCTTACAGATCAGGACTTTAGACTAAATTTGGGATACATACACTAGACTTATGCTTTTGGCATATTTATACATCACGCAATACTACTAACACATCATAGTACTGTAGGAATTATCCTAGATGTTGTGTATTAGTTATAATTCACTACTGTATACTATAACTTAATACAAAACCAGAAAATACAAAATACAATGCAACAGAATACAAAATTACAGGTGAAATGGTGAAGACCATAACTAGGACTACAATAATTTAACCATATTGCAGAGCCAGTGTTTTACTAACTTTGCATAAAAAAGAGAAATTACACTTAACAAGATCAAAAGTGTCTATATATTTACAGATAATCAATGACATTATAAACAAATAATTACTTTTTCAATTTCTTGATTACTGAAGTCTTCATTTTATTTATTTATTTATGCAGTTTGTATGCCACCCTTCCCAACAAAAGCACAGGGTAGTTTACAGTAAGAGAAATAAAACAAGGGCAAGTAGCATAAATATAATTAAACAAGAGATTCAGTGAACATCTCTGCCTAGTTATGGTTGCTAGATTTCAGCCCAAATAGGTCTTGCAAGACTTCCAAAAGATGTCCAGACATGGGCTCTGAAGGGTCACAAGAAGGAGAGAGACTCTTCTTTACCTAGATATCCTTAATGTTACAGTGAAATATTTTTTCTACTTTACTTTTATGCAAAGAGACAATGCCTGAAAAAGGGTAGAAAAAACACAAGCAAGCAAATATAGAAAGAAACTGCCTTTTCTATTGGAGCTTTTAAGTTCCTTTCTGTGCAGCTGTTTGTCTTACACAATTTGAAAGCAACTAGTGTACACTTCACTAGTTACGCCTATATTTTAGTATACACCTGCAGAGTTAAGGAAATTTTCTATTAGGCATTAGGCATGTAATTTTCTAACTGTCATCAGTAATTTCACGTTTGAGCAGCTTAAGGAAGAAAATATTAGCCACAAAGTTGAATGCTTTAGAAAGCTATGATTGTTTAAAAACAGGAAAGTTCCACTTAGGCTGTTTTGTAACTAGATTTAGTGGGGGTACCAGTCACCCACTGCAATAATGGTAGTTTTATAATAGCTTTTTGTGCTAATTAGATTCCCCGGAGTAATCTAGGCTTTTCCTCGGGCCCAAATTTTGCCCTCCCACCCTTCCTCATCCTTTCAATAACAACATTCCTTACTGTTTTATGATGTCTGTCTCTCTCTTCCCCCATAGCAGATGTATTTTACAAGTTTGCAATTTATACAACAATTCTATCCTGAGGATGGGACATGAGGGGAAGGATTATGCAACTGTAAAGTATTTTTGAAGCAATTACTTTCCCCATTTTGCAACCTTGATATTCCTGGACATTGCCCTCTTATAAACAAGACCTCCAGGTTCCATTGCAGGTATCTTTATAAGCTGTTCTGACACAAAGCAACACAATAAACACACTCCAGGAGTAATGTTTTCTCATTACTAATAGTTTATTTTGACAGAAAGTGACAATGGTATCATTTACTACCCTGAAGAGCTTCAGAAGATGGCTTTTGTGGTACGCCTTCAGCTAGTGCAGGCTCACTCAGCTGCCTCTTGTTGCCTCCACATTTCCATCAGTCATTTACTTTTCTTTTCTTCCCATAGCTTTTCCAGCCTCTTCACTGTGGCTAGGGACAGACATTCAAAAAACCTGAGCCTGAATTCATTCAATCTTTACAGGTTAGTCTAATCTGTCTAGGTTGAACTGATTTGCAATTGCATAGACATTCCCTCTGGACTGAAGAACTACAGGCACATGCCTGCAGTAGCTCAGGCTAGAA